GCTCTAACCATTGGGCCACGGGCTCGTTGTATTGCCTGTTTAGATCAGGAGATAATCAAACTCATTTATGAACGTTCATCGATCGCGAACGGAACCTATTCGTCAAAAGGTCGCGCTCAAAAACGTCCTGCTCCTCTACACTCGCGTTAAATAAATCGCAGGAAAAATGTATGTGCGTGGTGGCGATCATAATTTTTTAGATAAGACTAACAAGAGGAAGGCATGGGCAAACGAACGCGTGTGACTGCCCTGGAGTCAAAAGCACGGGTTCTGTGTGCCTCTGCCATCTTTATGACCCGTCTTAGGATCTTCAGGGAAAACAGGAACAGACCCAACAACATTGTGGGGAATTTGTTGAAACAGGCACGAACTCGACCACTTACGGAATGAAATCCGTGATGAATGTGAAATTAATTTTTTTTAAAGTGAATTTTTAATGCCGGGTGCATATTTCCACCGACAGGGGTCGAACGCGGGCCAGACAAAGCCAACTAAATAAGTAAGTGGAATGAAAATTTAGATAATTTGTTCATCCGCAAAAGGTCTACCCCTGCACTGTCTAAAGTAACTGGAGTCAGGTGAGGACCAAATATGAATGTTAGTCTAGATATAAGCCCTTCTCCCTTCCTTCAGAACGACCACAGTCTACTGATAATGGAACAACCTAGCTCAGAAGTAAGCAGGTTTTAATGTCTGGCGAATAGGCATGCGCAAGCCAACAGAGCCCGCTTTCCATGTGTGGTGAGCGTAGTCTGGTTGATTATTCCTGTCAGTCGATCCCTCCTCTTGTTTTTTGATTCTATCATGATATCGGACTCAAATAGGTAAGGGCGGATAGAGTGAAGTAGATGATGCGCAGGTATACTACCACTTCAATTGAAAGCTACTGTTCTTGCGTCCGCTACGTTGTGGGTCACACGATAAAGGCCGTCGGTAACGCTGGTTGGAGTAACAAACTGTGGAACTACGGAAACTGCTTATAATAGTCGATCGTTAGGCTGTACGTAAACGGCGTGTACTTTGAATCAGGCCTGATTGTTAGCTCTTTTCAGACATAACAGCATTCCAGTCCCGTTCGTTCTGGTTCTTTGATGATTCCAGTGACAGTCTTAAAGTTTTCGAAGGAGAAAATGATCTTGTTTGATGGTAAATAAAATCTGACCACATACAAAGCCAGCATCAATATTGCTGGTGCAGTTAGCTGCGACAATCCCGGTGAGTCCGCTCCTGTTGATATACCAGATTAATAATTATGTACAAGTCCAAAAGAGAGCGGAAGGACTAGGAGTAAATACACGAGGCCTCTGTGCCTGTCAGATGTACTGAGCTGAAGGGTTAAGAGATCCAGTCTCATGTTTAATAAGAAAATAATGACGCAACAAATATGACCTAAGTCAATCGCTTTTTCTGTGTTCCAGCTAAGAAGCTCAATGAAAAAAAGAGAATTGATTGAAATGAGGAAGCATCCAGAGAGCTACCGAACTGTTTCTACATTTTTCATGGTTAGAAGTAACTGTTCACTTATGCGCCGAATGTACGCTTCCCGTTTTTAGGTTTCTTCAACGTCAGAAAGACAAGGACATATTAGTTTACAAAAAATTACCGCAAAACGAATGCAGTAGCACGTACCTGTGGAACTATTATGTTGAACAGGAGTCAACGACATGTACTGAGTTTTGTCTGGGGGAAAGTTTACGTCCAACATCTCCTCGTCACTCGCCATTTTATGGCGGCTGAACAAAGTTTTTCGGACCGGAATTTTCGTCAGTTTAAATTCTGCGAAATAAAGTAGGGATGATGGACAAGTCAGATGCACGTCAGGTTGGGCAAAACTATTTTAAAGGCTGCATATAACGTTCGCATGGCGGACCAGAGACAGCTATTAGTATAATTTATGATATGTCGGATGCACAGCAAGGGAAAGGAAAGTGAAGCAGAACCGGTGACAAATAGTAGAGCGGGAAGGGGTCAGCAAATAGTAAAGAAAGTTGCCTCGGACATAATACGAACCATTATATCTCAAGAAAGAAGCATAAATACGGGCTACAGATAAGGAAATCAGGAAAGAATGTCATTAAAGAAAAACATTTAAAAAAAACCCTGTGCGCAAAGCAATTTTCTGTGAACAATTAAGGGCCAGTTTATCATCTACAAGGAGTCCAAACATTTGCAGTTGGCGAGATATGAAGGTTAAGAAAATTCTCACGGGTGAACAGTTCCATGGGGAAGAAATGTGAGAAAGACACTTCCTAATCTTATGTATTCCCGCGTGATTTTAAGTGTGGCCGTGCGCTGATAACTTTTAGGTACGAATGTGCTGAAATTAAGGTGACTGCGTAATATAATCGGTTTTCGAAAGCTCATAAAAATAATTTCGTCATTCGTGAGGAATATAAGCTTTCGATTAAACGCTAGCCTAAATGTGCGTAAACTGCCCCGCTTTTAGTATAAAATTAGCTGTTGGATAGGGTTCTACAAGCACCTAAAAATAATAAAAAGTTCTTATTATTCCTCCCAATCTATAGCAGACCCGCCATGTATAATTATGTCTTCACTTGACTTTGCACACATAAGCATCGCCCAGGCAACTTTTTGGATATCGGAGACGGGAGGTTCGGCGTATTTACTGTGATGGCTACTTGGTCAACTTGCGTACTCATCCAAAGTTGAATTTTGTCATATAAGAGCGGTCTAGAGTCGGAACCGCAATTTTAACTCAATATGCAACTAGGTATAGTAACATCGCACAGCAACATGTAATTTTATCACACAGTCTCGCTATACGAGTTTTGTGCGATGTTATTGGCAAACAGCAGTGCGCCATCTGCATCTTAGGATGTGCTCGCAAGTGCAGGTTACACGTAACCCGATACAGCAGCTACGGCCACTTTGTGTGAATGTAATTAGCATCCAAAGTCCTAGATGGGTGGTCCCTGTCAAAAATGTCGCCGAAACAATTTCGGTGTTACTATAGCACAGTGGAACTAAACTAACCAAAACGTGAGAATTATAAAACAACGTATTGTGTTAGTACAGTGTACATAAATGGTTCTCAACACAAAACCTTCGAAAAAAAGTAAAAACACCAACAACGCACAAAAATCCCAAAACAGTAATTTCGAGAACTCCGCGCTCATATATATCATAAACAAACACATTCGTGTTCCTGACTTTTGTGACTGGGATCTTGTAACTTTCCCTACATTTTTTCTTGCGAGCTATGGCCTATTGAACTTTTCATTGGCTTTATGAACTAAGTTAACGTAAAATCGTTGTTTTCAGTTGATAGTGAAAAGCTCTCTATATGTTTTCACGTTAGTGGCAGAATATCAATGATTAAATAGCAGCATACGTCGTTGAATGCTACGATCTTGAACCAATTCCGAAAGTATAGTAAATTTAGTGATCGTACATGGGGCACAGAATAAGAAATCTGGAATAAGCTACCCAGGCATATCATAATTCAGCAAAGATAACACTACTATTGTAGCGGATATGTCTCGGGAGTTTTTTTAACTTACTCGGTGGAATCTTTCTTCCGTTCTGGTGACATTTCTGGCATCTGCATTGTGTAACAGGCTTTATACTGAAGGCAATGGTGCTGATATTGCAGCCAAAAATCGGCCAATTCTTCAGCCATCACAAAACAACGTTTTGTTGACACCCATTTGCGTTTTTCGAATGCTGGATCTATATCAGTGAAGAGAAACTGGATTAAATCTGTTCCTGTTTCAAACCTTCTGCCTCCCGAAATACCACCTTTCAATGAGCTGCAGTTTTTCGCCAGAATAGCACTAGTGACTGGTAAGCACTAGAAGGATAATTGTGGAGTTTTTTCACTGGCATCTGGTTCGTCCACTGTATATTTTTGCTGGCCGTCTGAATAATGGCAATGAATACTACAACATTTATAAATGTTGGGCATGAGTTCACAATGCATCCAAAAGGGCAAAGCATTTAGACTGTGGATAGTCTTTCTTTTTATACTCAGCCATTTTGAAAAATAAGCTTCATATTTAATTATCTCTAAATAAGATGGTCCTTACTCCAGATACATACTTCCGTATCTTCACTTCAACCGCAGTCAGTCAGTTTCATTCAGGTAAAACAAGACCACCTGTAATACGGGGCACTACCGAGCTTGTTTTACCATTTCCGCCTCAAGGATTTTCTGGCAAAAAACGAGCACTGTTACAAGTGGAACGAATGAATGTCTTAATGATCACGGAGGAATTACGAACGACAAATGATCGATCTATCGGATTTAGAGCATTAATTCTTCGGAGAGCCAGAGTTAACCCGAGGCAGGAAGTACAGGCCCCATTCAGATCTTCTTGCCCACAAATAGTTGATGTTCGCCAAGGGACCTTTCTCCGTATAAGAGGCACTGAAACCAGAAAGAGAAAATCGTTTTCGAGTAAAAAAAAACCCTAAGCAAAAGGCGATTCTGATCGTTTATTCATGCCTTTGTAACGAGAGAAAGTTACCTATGTTTTGTTTTAATCAACACTTATTCTTTAAACTGACTTAACGTTTGTTTTTCTGATTTCCGGTGACAATTTCAATTTCGAGTGAGCGTGCGAGAAAGAGAGAACGACCGTGAAGCTAGTCAGAGAAGTTTTGGCAAGCAACATCAGGACGTGGATAGAAGAGGAGACCGTATTGACTGAAACTCTGCGAAAAACAATGCCCCCAGATTTTACTGCAGTATTTACCTCTGGTTAACTGCTACGATAAATTTAATAGACGATTATTCCCCATTCATCTGTTATCTTTTGGTGTGATTGTGAGTGGACAACATGACTTCCGGGAATGAAGGAAAGACGAATGCTACTGGAGTGGAGAAGCAAGATGAAGGACAGACTGTTCCCGTTGTAAAGGGAGATACCGACCAACAGGTTCCTAGTGCTAGCGCCAGAGGAGCCACTACAGTGGTGGCAGCGGTGGGCTATGAACCCACGCCCTTTCGGATGCGAGTGACCACGCCATCAGTGGTGTTCTTTCACAAGCCGATTCGTCAGGCGTTGAACGCCCGATCTGCTACGCCAGCCGGTCACTAACTCGAACCA